TTCCTCCGCTACCACAACACTCCCTACTCCACCACCACCACAAGAGGTCCGCCGAGCCTGAGGCCGAAGCCGAGCCCTCTTACGGTTCATACCATTACCCAGGCTACTACCGTCCCTATTCCTACGGCTACCACAACACTCCCTACGTCCACCACCACCACAAGAGGTCCGCCGAGCCTGAGGCCGAGGCAGAGCCTCTTACCGAGCTTTACTACCACCCCTATTCCTACGGTTACCAAACACACCACTACATTCCTTCCGTCCACCACCACCACCACAAGAGGTCCGCTGACCCCGTTGCTGAGCCCGGCTTCCACCCTGTGTACCCTCGTTACTACCACTCCTCCCACTACTTTCCCTACACTCACAGCCACTACAAGAGGTCTGCCGAGCCAGAAGCTGACGCAGGAGTCAGTTATGCTCACCACCACCAGTACCAACCCGCCCACTACCATGGACTTCACTATGGTTATGGCTACTAGGCTCACCACTAAGGCACTGGGGGTTTGTGCTGATTTTCTCTATAAGTTTTATTTTGAAAAGTAATAAAGAAATCGAAAAAAGTTTCCAAATCAATCATGTTTCTGATTTATGAATCCTTATTACACAATTTATTAAGAAAAAGGAATAGATGTCCAAGACAAAACAACCATATCACATAAACGCACAACCATAGAAATACAACACAAACATACAACGAATGAACAACGCAGCCTTACAGGAACCAAAACCCACCATTCACCATCCTTTCGAGAGCGAGTCAGCCCATCCTTCAGTCGCCGGCCTCGTCAGCCGCAGCGCTGTCAGCATCGTCAGCTGACTGGAATCGCGAGAGGAAGTCGAGGTGCCAGTGCCATGTCCCATAAGCAGTGCCAATACTCGGAAGTGATATTAAAGCTCAAATTTAATTTATAATTTATACAGAAAATGTTTAATCTTTTCAGGTTGAGTGAACATAGTGAAGGAGGGAAGCAAACTTGGGAGCAGATCTAAAGTAACTATAATCGTAAGGAAACTGAGAAGTTAGGAATTACATTCAATTAATAACTGTAAATGAGTTTTATGCCATTGAAAATGTTTTTGCAGTTGTGACTGACTGTTTAGAAGAACAACCATCAAACCAATGAAATTACTCGAGGCAAGTCAAGCTGCACGTCGCACCCACCGAGTGTTTCCAGCCACGAGGATTCATTTTGGAGATTGCCATGAAAGGAACGTCATGAAACACCGACTATTGGACCTGCAATTTGAACTGGCATTATCTGTAACTGTAGTTGAGAAAAAAAAAAAAAAAAAAGAAAAAGAAAGCGAATATACTACAAAGTTCAACTCAAATGGTGTTTCAGACTCACTGGACACGTTTCAGGGAGAACTAAAACATAATAAAAATAAAGAAACATACGGTGCTTGTGTCAGGGTATATATTGCTCTGCATCTGTATGGTTCCTGTCGTCAGTATTTTAAAACGAAACTGGTTGCCAAAGAACCAAGAAAAAATATAGGGTATGGGAATCCTACAGTTAGAAAGATGATAATAACGATTATACAGTGTATATACATATGTGTGTGTGTGTGTGTGTGTGTGTGTGTGTGTGAGCAGTGCCACAACTCGTAAGTGGTGTTTTGATACATTATTTATAAGAGAAAATTCTTTTCATTTTTCATGTTAATGATTAAACATCTTAGTGGAAGAGAGAAGTGAACTTGGAAGCAGGCCTGAAATAACTCTAGTAAGAAAACTGAAATGTTAGCAATCACACATTTGTAATTATTAGTAATTGGTTTAGTTGTTTTTAGTTGTGACTATTTAGAAGCATAATTATAGAATAAATGGAAATATTTGAGGCAAGCTATACGGCATCATATTTCGTCGCATCTCCCATTCGCCTCAAGTCACGAGATTTTACTCTGGAGACGACCACGAAGAGAAAGGTCATAACACCGACGGTTGTTCCTGTAATTGTAACCGGCGTTATCTGTGACTGTGTTTGAGAAGAACAAATAAACAGTCACTGATGCAATCGACCGAAGCCACTGGAATCTGCTCGAACGCCTCTTGTCGGTTCCTGTAAATTTATTCCAGATAAAGTTTAAAGACGACATTTATGCTCAAATACATTCATTCATACTATGGATATGGATATATATAGACATAGATATATTAATAAATGTATATATGCATACATATACATAAATGCACACACACACACAAACGCACAAACGCATAAATCTATAGAATATGTAATTTATATATAATACATATACTCACATACACATATATTGCACACATTTACACACACACACACACACACATACATGTGTGCTGTGTATGTGAGTATATATGTGTGTATGTGTGATTATCTACATATTCATATATAAACGTATATACATACATCTATATACATATATAGATGTATATATATACATATTTACTCATATACCTACGCACACATATATATACATAATATATACATTCATATTTAAGGACATACAATGATACATATATACACAGAAAACATACATTCATACATACACAGGCACATAGATAAATCAAAAGATAAAGGATTACACATATATACATGTATATATAAACATCCGCTGTACATTAGTCGACCTGCTTATCTACTTCAAGGAACTGTCAGTCGCATGCACGATATCAATGATGATCAATGACTTAGACACCAGGTGGTTCCTGGGGGCGGGTCCTTCACATGACGTGGGCGTGTCCTATCCAAAGCCAATTTCTGACTTGTCGGCGGTCTGTCAAGGTCTTGCGTGTGAACAGGTATATAAGGAGTCGGACGCACTGCCGGAGTCACATCGCCCTGTTCCGTCTCACCAATCCTGCAGAGATGAAGTACTTGGTGAGTAAAATTTCAATGTGTTCATTCCTTTGAGAACAGGATTAACGGGGCTTATTTTGTATCGTGATTGATTTTAGAAATGGATGTTTAATTCAGGATTGTGTACCTTCAGGTGTTTGTGCTTCTGGCGGCTGCCGCTTGCGCTTCTGAGGTGGAGAAGCGAGAGGCGGAGCCAAGTCGTGCCTACAACTATGGTTATGGTCTCCATCACCATGCCTACTACCCCCGCACCTATCACCCCTACCACACCTACCACAAGAGGTCCGCCGAGCCTGAGGCCGAAGCCGAGCCCTCTTACGGTTCCTACCACTACCCAGGCTACTACCGTCCCTATTCCTACGGCTACCACAACACTCCCTACGTCCACCACCACCACAAGAGGTCCGCCGAGCCTGAGGCCGAGGCAGAGCCCTCTTACCAAGCTTACTACCACCCCTATTCCTACGGTTACCAAGCACACCACTACATTCCCTCCGTCCACCACCACCACAAGAGGTCCGCTGACCCCGTTGCTGAGGCTGAAGCCAGCTACGGTCACAGGTCATACCACCCCGTCTATTACCCCTCCTACCACTACACACCCTATTCTCACAGCCACCACAAGAGATCTGCCGAGCCAGAAGCTGATCCTGGTTTCGCCCATGGCTACCACCAGGCCGTGTACCGCCCCTACCACAGTGGAGCTCAATATGGGTACGGTTACCGCGCCACCACCACTAAGGCACAAGAGGTTTATATGCCCTGACCTTGTCTGAGAGTTTCATCTCGAAATTTAATTTAAAAACAATAAAGTCAATCCAAATTAATTATATCTTTGATTTAAGAATCCTGATTGTAAACCTCGAGAAAATGGAATGGATAAACATACTGATATGTAAGTGAATTATATAAACAACTAAATCACAAAAATAGCTAACTGTAACAGCCAGAAAACGCTACAAAAGCTGGGAAACTGTGATATTAAATGAGCTGTACAGTTGAATGATACTTCTTGTAATTGCGGGACTGATTTCCATAAGCATAAAATTGCAAATTATATCATGCAAATATTACACTGATATAATGAATATCCATAAGTATATATAGATACAATAAACAATAGATTTAGACGTTCTCTCACTGTGCATCATATGTATATATGTATACATGTATGTATATATATGTATATGTATATATATATGTATATACATGTACATACGTATTAATATATATGTATATAGTATGTATATATATATATATATATATATATATATAAATATATATTATATATATGTATATATATATATATATTATATATGTATGTATATATATGTATATATGTATGTAAATATATATGTATATATGTATGTATATATATGTATATATGTATGTATACATGTATGTATTATGTATGTATATATGTATATATGTATGTATATGTCTATATATGTATGAATATACGCACACACATGTACATATACACACAAATATATATACATATACACACACACATATACATATATGTATACATATACATGCACATATGTATACATATATATACATATACATATTCAGTATGCATAATTATATATATACTGTATATATGTATATGTATGTATATATAGATATATGTATGTACATACAGACATACACACACCTATATGTATATATCTATATACAATATATATATATATATATATATATATATATATATATATATATCGTATTCATACACTATGTTTACATTCATATTTATACAAGCTGTATATATAGAGTATATATATATATATATATATATATATATATATATATATATATATATATATATATATATATATATATATATATATATATATATGTGTGTGTGTGTGTGTGTGTGTGTGTGTGTGTATG